GGTTTTTGGGTTCTCTTTTCCAAATATTGTGGCAGTTATTCTGCTATTTTTATGTTGCATCGCTTGCTTCCTGATTCCTTTCGTGCATGCCGGATAACTGCTCATGAGTCTCAACGCAGAGGTTAGCTCCTTCATAATGCGTCTTCTTATATTTTTTAGCAGAATACTGAAACAGTGCCTGAGACTGATTGTCAACCACCTACCACAACCGCTGTCCGGCATCCACAGTTGTCTGTTACGAAGGCATTCGCGGCTATGTTTCTAACGAGAGCTCTTGAAAAGATTTTGAACGAGAAAGAAACAAAAAGGGCTAATAATATAGAGCTTCGTAATGCTTGCAAAGAGGGAATTAAGTGTTTAGCTGCCCGAAGCAATCCGCCAGGAAGCTCCTCTTCAGCAGATCACAAAAATTCGTCCGGAAATCACTTTCCGCCTTTAATGCTCAAGGAAGGACCGCTTCTTAATGATGAACGCATTCTCCTACCTTTTGAACTTGCTTGTGGAAGTAAATCGCCCAAAGTTGTAGCGATAGCCCTTGACTCCATCCAGAAACTAATCGCCTACGGTCATGTCTCTAATGATGCTTACGATTCCTCGGGAAAAACGCGTCTAATTGAAAGAATTGTTGCCACTGTCTGCTCTTGTTTCCAGGTAATACATTTCATAAAATTCATGTTGGACCATAAGCGGCGTATACATTCAATGGTCTTCCTCTTATTTCCCCTTTTGATTCTAATGTCGGGTTTGCTTATTTCATTTTAGGGTGTGCAAACTGATGACGAGGTTCAGCTTCAAGTTATCAAAGCTCTTCTAACCGTCGTCACTTCGCCAATCGTAGAAGTTCATGAAAAGGATATACTTTTAGTCGTTCGCACTTGCTACAGCATATACATGGCTACACGTAATGCTGTAAACCAAACCACAGCCAGGGCAACATTGACCCAAATGCTGAACGTTATCTTCCAAAAAATGGAACAAGCCAGCCTAGATGCAGCCGTGTTACATGAGCAGACGCACACTAGTGGCGAAAACCAACACTCAAAGCCAACACAGGAGAAATCGGTCTCGCTTGAAAACTCTGATCAAGGTTCCGAAGCCCCTCCTGCGACCACTGCATGTACAGTAGAAAAGGCAGAATCGAGTGTTGCCCCAGTAACTCATCTGAATGGTGATGAGGTTTGCAATGTAGCCGAACCGCCTGAGCCGTCGCATAGTAGTGGCCAAGATCAAGACCCAAAGCCAACACTGGAGAAATCAGCCTCGCTTGAAAACGCTGTTCAAGGTTCCGAAGTCTCTCCTGTGGACACTGCATGCAAAGTAGAAAACGCAGAATCTAGTGTTGCCCCAGTAAGTCATCTAAATGGAGATGAAGAGTGTAATACCGACGAATGTGATGAATCACAACATACGGACGAATCGGCAAACAATGCAACAGAATCCGAGGAACAGACAACAGAGCCAACTCAGAATGGCAGCCCTGAAGAATCGGAAGAAGTAATGGTAAAAAGTTCAGATTCTACTTCCGGCTGTGATAATGCAGAGCATCCGACACAGATTAAAGATGAGGACCAAGTTTCCGAGGTTGACGGTGCACAATCTGAGCCTGATTCCGACGCTGGTTCTAAATCTCCTGTTGAAACTTCCGAGCAGTCGCCGACTCCACCCTGTGTTCCAGTCGACGGTACTGTAGACAGTCCCGCTGAGCCTGATGCCGACGCTGGTTCGAAATCTCCTGTTGAAACTTCCGAACGGTTGTTGACTCCACCATGTGTTCCAGTCGACGGTACTGTAGGCAGCCCCCCTGCGGATACAGTTCAGCCCCCAGGCAGTCCTGTTTCTGAACCTTCGGTCAATGAAGATGCCAATAATTCCGCTTCATTTGATACCCCTGCGGATAGCACACCAACTTCTCCTATAGACATGGATACCATCTCAGCAGGTGACACTGCAGATTCTAGCACACCCGGTGACTACTGCTTCGCTAATGTTGTCCAAAAAGATGCCTTCTTGGTATTCAGGTCTCTGTGCCGACTTTCTATAAAACCCCTCTCCGGTGTTAATCCTTCAGACCCAAAGTCACACGAACTTCGCTCAAAAATTCTCAGTCTACAGTTATTGCTCAGTATCTTACAAAATCCTGGCCCCGCCTTCCGGTCGAGTGAAGTATTTGTTACCGCGATAAAACAGTACCTGTGTGTCGCTCTCTCCAAAAACGGAGTCTCCACCGTTCCGGAGGTTTTTGAACTCTCTTTGGCCATCTTTCTTTCTCTTCTAACTCATTTTAAGCAACATCTAAAGATGCAGATTGAGGTATTTTTTAAAGAAATCCTTCTGTCTATTTTGGAGTCTCCAAGTACAACATTTGAACATAAGTGGATCGTTGTTGCGGCATTACAACGCATATGCAACGACGCGCAGTGCGTCGTGGATTGTTACCTGAACTATGACTGTGACCTGGATAGGGCCAAT